TTTTCAGCCTGATTTTTGGGCTGCTTTGTGCCCAATTTTCAGCCCAGTTTTTAGCCTGGTTTGGGCCTGTTCTGGGCCTGTTTTTCGGCCATTTTCAGCCTGTTTTGGGCCTGTTTTGGCCTGTTTTGGGGCCTGATTTTTAGCTGTTTTGGGGCCTGTTTTCAGCCCGATTTTTGGGCTGTTTTATGCCCGATTTTCAGCCGTTTTCAGCCTGGTTTGGGCCTGTTCTGGGCCTGTTTTCCGGCCATTTTCAGCTGTTTTGGGCCCGTTTTGGGGCCTGATTTTCAGCTGGTTTGGGGCCTGTTGTCAGCCTGATTTTTGGACTGTTTTATGCCCGATTTTCAGCCCAGTTTTCAGTCTGGTTTGGGCCTGTTCTGGGCCTGTTTTCTGGCCATTTTCAGCTGTTTTGGGCCCGTTTTGGGGCCTGATTTTCAGCTGGTTTTGGGCCTGTTTTCAGCCTGATTTTGTGCCCGATTTTCAGGCCTGGTTTGGGCCTGTTCTGGGCCTGTTTTCTGGCCATTTTCAGCCTGTTTTGGACACATTTTTCGGTCCATTTTTGACCCAGTTTTGGCCAGCAGAGTGCTTCAGGTCATCAAGAGCGAAAATGAGGCACAGGGCTCCCGCACTCGGCCCGATTTAGCCACCAGAGGCACTGCAGGCTGGTCCTTTGATAGTTCCAGGCTGGCCCCGTGGGCTGGATTTAAGCACCCGTGGGCCTTGAATTTGACACTCCTGTTCTAGTCTCCACATGGTGTTTTATGTCGTGACGACCAAAACACCCGGTTCATCTGTGTTTGGGATTCATTCTGCGAATTGCAAAGGGACTTGAAAGACCAGGATTAAATCCCTAATGCCTAATCCCCAGCTATGACTTAATAATTCATTAAATAACAGTATAATTAAATTGCAATAAAGCAATGGGTTGAATAATTCATCTGGCATTAATAATTAATTCCATTTAGATATATATATTTTCTGACAGGGAGAACCATCAACCCATGGAACAGAAGTTGCCTTCGGAAGTTGTGGGAGCTTTCAAGAAAAGACTGGACTGCCATCGGTCAGAAACGGTGTAGGGCAGTGATGGCTAACTTTGTCAGCACTGAGTGCCCAAAGCGTGCACACACATGCACGAATGTGTGCGTGTACGTGTGCATGAGCATATCCCCCAAAATACAATGCACACACGTCTCCCGTGCATGCGCCCTGCATGCGTCCTCCATCCGTGCACATCCCACACATGCGTCCTCCCATGCATGCATGGCAGAGCTGAGCTGGGCCAAGGGCTTACGTGTCCGCAGAGAGGGCTCTGCGTGCCATCTCTGGCATGCATGCCAGAGGTTTGCGAACATGGGTGTAGGATCTCCTGCTTGGGCGCGCGGTTGAACTAGATGACCTACAATGTCTCTTCTGACTCTGTTAATCTGTTAAATGGGGAAGGGTCTCCTGCTTGGGTAGGTGGGTTGGACTAGATGACCTATACGGTCCCTTCCAAATCTGTTGTTCTATTCTATTCTATTCCATTCCATTCCATTCCATTCCATTCCATTCCATTCCTTTATTCTGTTCTGTTCTATTGTATTTTATTCTTCCAATTTCTGTTCTATTCTAATTTCTATTCCAATTTCTCTTCTCTTCTCTTCTATTCCTTATTTTATTCTATTCCTTATTCTACTCCACTCCACTCCACTCCATTCTATATTCTATTCTATTCTATTCTATTCTATTCTATTCTATTCTATTCTTCCAATTTCTATTCTATTCTAATTTCTATTCCAATTTCTATTCTATTTTAATTTCTGTTCCAATTTCTCTTCTCTTCTCTTCCTTATTCTCTTCTCTTCCTTTTTCTGCTCTACTCCACTTCACTCCATATGTCTATTCTCTAATTCTATTCTATTCTAAATTCTACCCTTCCATTCCATTCTATATACTTCATTGTAATAGAGAGTTATAACTTTTGCAAGTTTAATGATGAACTTAAAATGTAAATTTTGAAAGGAACTTCAGGGGATTACAGGGAGGATTTCACAAAACATTGGCTAATCCTGTCTGTGGGTTGGAAATTTTGCAGGGCTGAGTTTATTTAGTTTATTTAGTCTAGAACTGAGGATGTCCCCAGGCTACACACTCGATTTGGAAGATGAAAAAAAAAACCCATTCTTGAAAAAGTCTGTGGCAAAAAACATTTTTGCCGCTGTTAAGGGAACTATATCTCTGAAATTACTTTGTGCAGGGTTTTCCAAACTGGCTACTTTCAGAGGGAGGAGGTCTTCAACTCCCAGAATTCCTCAGCCAACAAAAATGATTGAAGGTTGGGGTGAAGGCTACGACATAGGAAGAATGTCCAGGGTTGACATGACAGCACTCTTCCAGTATTTGAGGGGGTCAAACTATTTTCTAAAACACTACAAGGCAAGGCGAGATTACGGAAGACTTGGAAGGGACCTTGTAGGTCATCTGGTCCAACCCACTCCTCACTCAAGCAGGAGACCCTACACCACTTCTGACAGTGTCCAGTGATGCTCCCACAACCTCTGAAGTAGCAACAGATGGAAACTAACTAAGGAGAGAAGCAACCTAAGAACTAAGGAGACATTTGCGCATGAAAACACCAGATCCATCTAACCACTTTGGCTTTAGCAAACTATACTCTTGCTAAAACAACGGGCCAGGGGTCCTTCTTTCCTGAATGACCAAGTGGGATGGTTGACACCTTCCAACCGAAACCAAATCAACTCAATTGAAACCAACTCAAGCCAATGCAATCTAATCCAAGTCAACCCAACCCACCCAACCCAAATCAACCCAACCCAAATCATATCAACCAAACCCAAGTCAACCCAACCCACCCAACCCAAATCAACCCAACCTAAATCATATCAACCAAACCCAAGTCAACCCAACCCACTCAACCCAAATCAACCCAACCCAGATCATATCAACCAAACCCAAGTCAACCCAACCCACCCAACCCAAATCAACCCAACTCAAGTCAACCCAACAAAACCCAACAGTGCAACTGGTGCAGAAGGAGACAAGAGGCTGTCTCATCGTCCCATTGGCTGCCATCTTGACTTCTTTGATCGTCCCTTGGAGAAAGCCCCATTCCCTCTTTGCCAGTGGACTTTAGCTTCCGTAAGGGCACCCAGTCAGAGCTGTCCTCATGTGAAGACCATTTGGGGGAGTGGGAGGGCAATGTCTTTGCCCACCGGGCTTGAGGGAACTCATCCAACCCAAACATAGTTGGTCCCTCCCTGGCATTTTCCTTGGAGCACCCAAAGAGATCCCCGGTGCCACCAGACCTAACTCAATTGGCTAATTCTGATGGGAGGGGGCTAGGAAAGTTTTCAGCCCATCTGGGGAGCTGTTGAGAATGTATGGCTGGACTGTTGGGGCCTTTCAGGCCACCGGCCCCTCTAGCAACCAAATCAGAGGAGGAGGAGGAGGAGGAGGAGGGGGTGGCATGGGAGTCAGGGTCAGCATCCAGGCAACCAAGGAGCTCCAAGGGGAAGAGGGAATGGAACTGGTAGAGAAAGAGACAGAGATGGAGCGTGGACTGTCAGTCAGCCTGCTCAGATGGAGAGTCCACAGCCCCCAGGTCTGGAGGTGACTGATGAGGAAGAGGAGGAACAGCTGGGTCCAGTGCCTGACGCACAGATGCGCAGAAGGCAGAGGAGAGGAGATCAGTGGAAATCTATGGGCCGGTCCTTGGGACGGAAGAGCCATGGCTGCTAGAGAAGCCCCACCCTGACTCTGGGGGATAAAAGGAGAGGAGAGCAGTGGGAATCTATGGGCCGGTCCTTGGGATGGAAGAGCCATGGCTGCTAGAGAAGCCCCATCCTGACTCTGGGGGATAAAAGGAGAGGAGAGCAGTGAAAATCTATGGGCCGGTCCTTGGGACGGAAGAGCCATGGCTGCTAGCGAGGCCCCACTCAAGCTCTGGGGATAAAAGGCAGGGGTCAGAGGTGAATAGATGTGGGAGACAATCGGGGAAGGGGCCTGAGGATCATCTAGTCCAGCCCTCTGCAATGGCAGGAAAACCAACTGAATCTTCCCTGTGAAACTTACAGCGATGAATCTCCCGGGAGGTGGTATTTAGCTGCCATACCAGTAGCAGAAATTTTGACTAATTCAGAGAACTGGCAAAAAACCCCACCTCTGGCTAGGCCCTGCCCACCCGCCCACACTGTTAGCTCTCCTATATTCTCTTAGTTTTTTTTTTAGCTCAGAGCAGATTGCTGCGCCTCAGCGGGGCTAAAAAAACAGCTCCGCTTGCTCACCACCGTTTGAGCCCTGTGCACGCTCACAGAATCGGCTGGAAAAAAATTGGAAACCCACCACTGGACCTCTCGCTGTTCTGACCCAGGCTTCGTCAAACAAAATTAATCACAAACTTGTTTTAAAAGCAAAACCTATTTTATTGCCCCCAACACTGGGAATTACTTTCATTCCCAGCCAGAACTAATGATAAACAATTCCCCAAGATAAGCACCCACCTTTCAGTGCTGTGGAATGTTGTCAAAAACAGAAGCATCCGATTAATTATAACAGAAACCAACCGAAGTACAAGAAAAAAACCAACCAAAGCACACAGAGCTTTCAAGGAGGACTCAGAACCGATTGAACTATTTTGCTTCCTGCAAAGGTTTCGTCATTGAGGTCTGACTTTTATCCTTTATGGGAAGGGCAATCACCTCCCAGCCTTACTCCCGCGTCGCCCCTTCTGTTTCAGCTGCTCTCACCTTCGGGCAGCTCTGCACATACGCACACTTGGAACAGGCTCCCCTGGTTCCTCTGCCTTGCTGCTGCCAGACTCCAAAGGCTCCGAAGGCAGCACCCCACTCCTAGATGGTCCTGGTCCCGTCTCTGCATCAGATGCAGGACCCTCGTCCAAGTCTGACTGGTCCCCTTTCTACCTCACTGTCCGATTCTGCTGCCGGCGAACCACAACACCTGTTGCCCCATCTGGATTGGAGGAAGCAGAACCTGAGACTTACCCACGCAAGGTCTCGTGGCCCCTCCGTCGTACCCGGCTGGGAGTGGGCTTTCTTTCCGTGTCGGAGAACCGGTTGGCCTGGACCTCTTCATTCTGCTCGCCGATGGCGATGTCCAATGATGTCCAGAAGCAGCCCAGGACGAGTTGAATGAGCCAGACCGCTGCCCTCATGATTTGGGTGTCCAACGGGCGGGTCTACGGATGGCACCAGGAGAGGGAAGGAAGGGGAGAGAATCCAAGACCCCTGTGAGAAGTTTGATATCAAAATATATATATTTATGCTCGACGCTTCTACCTTTCCTTAAAACAGGAACAGAATCCACAAGTTAGGGTCTCTGTTAGATCATCGAGGTTACGCTGAATAAATTAATCATGTCAAGATGGCAAAAACAATGCAATATATTTTTAAAAATCCATCCCTCGAACTTCCTCGAGACCCTCCAATAAGTTACTCGCACCCGATCCACATATCAAAGGATAAGGTTTGCAAACAGGGGGAGTTGAATCCATTAGTTCTCCCACAGGAACTGCAGGGTTCACAAAAACACACAAACACGCAAACACATACACCCCTCAAGAGCCTTCCTAGAATGAGCAAGCAGACACTTCAAGCTCCCTCTATTAAAATAAATAAATAAATCTGCTGCCATACCCCATTTCTTTGCAGCCTGCCCCCCTAAAAGCTAACTTGTCTAATAAATATATCTTCTTTTCTCATAAGCTGTGTGGACCTTGTTTTTATTTAAAGGTGAAGGTAAAATTGTTGGTGGTTCTCACAGTCAGAAAGTTTATTTCCAGGTTGAATCTCTCCTTGTTCAGTTTCCATCCATTATTCCTCGTCTGGCCTTTGGAAAATAGCTTGACCCCCTTCCTCCTCTCTGGGGCAGCCCCTCCTCAAATATTGGAAGATGCTCTCCTGTCTCCCCTGGTCTTTATTGGGGGGGGGGGAGTGCCTAAACAGAATCCACGGGAGGGCAGGGGTAGAGTCTGCAGTCTAGTGCAGTTTTTTCTCACGCTGGGTCACTTTAAGCTCTCCCAAGGAGACCCCTCCCCACTTTCCTTCCTTCCTTCCTTCCTTCCTTCCTCTCCCCCTCCCACCCTTCTCTCTCATCCAGCAATCTCTCCCTTATCACTTTCCCAGGCCTTTCCCCCCGTTATCTGGTGAAGGAATGCTTGGCTGCTCTTCCTTTCCCGATTTAGCTCTGTGGTACGGACATCCCTGCCCTCAGCATCCAGCTCTCCTGGGTCGGTTCTCCTCGCTCTTTCTTTAACGGGATGCCAGAAACTTAAAAGCTCTGCCGACGAAGAGGAATGCAAACCAGGACGTGCCAAAATGACACGCAGAATAACAAGAGTTGGAAGGGACACCGGAGGTCCTCTAGTCCAACCCTCCACCCAAGCAGGAGGCCCCATACCATTTCGGACAAGTGACTCTCCAGTTTCTTCTTTAAAAAACCCCAGTGATGAAGCACTCACAACTTCTGGAGTTCTTCTGTATGATTGGGTTGGGTTGGATTGGATTGGGTTGACAGGTTAGATTGGGTTGATTTGGGTTGGATTGGGTTGGGGTGACTTGGGTTGGATTGGATTGGATTGACTTGGGATGGGATGGGTTAGGTTGGGTTGATTTGGTTGGGTTGATTTGGGTTGGATTGGGTTGTGTTGACTTGGGTTGGATTGGGTTGTGTTGATTTGGGTTGGGTTGATTTGGGTTGGGTTGATTTGGGTTGGGT